CAGTTATTGTGCATCCTCTTTTGACACGTTTTTGCTATAATAGGCGGATCCAGGCGTCCAAAAAGGGGGGTTATGTTTTACCTCCCAACATAGGTGCCCTGACACCGCCTATGCATGACCAATACAATTGTAGTCGTTCTCTCATAAGAAAATTGTAACATAACAAGACCATTACCACCATTTTTAGAAACAGTACCAACAAAAACCTTATTTACTATACTTTTTGTGTACCCCCAATCTCAATGATCTGTATCCGCCTATGATTTTTGAAAATGCATATTTTTGGGATCCATGTGAATTCCTGGTTCATTCTCTATTGATCGGCAAAAGTTGCGTTAAGATTGGTTCAGAAACCTGGCCGTGATAAACAGTCTAAAATGTATCTGCAATTTGCCCGTTTTTACCCCCCTCTACCCCCCCCCCCCCTATTGACATTTTTAATTTTTATTTTTTAGAAATGTAGATCACGTTGAGCGAAATCGAACGCCGTTTGAATTTTGGAAATCGGCCCGTTAGATCTCGAGATATCAAGGGGGGTCGTAAACAGCCCCCCCCCTGCCACTAATAGGGGGTAGCCAGGAGCCTGCCACTAATAGGGTTAAACTGAAATAGTAGTTTATTTAATAGAGCTCAAAATTTTACCCCTTTTGCTCCAGCCTTTTGCTTGAAAGCACACTATAGCCTGAGATATTTCTCATTTTCCTCATCGACATCCGCCCATTTTACCATAGTCTATGTACCTACTTTATGTCACCTACACTGTAAACCAAATCTACAAGTTGGCTCCTTGTTACAAGTTTGGTTCCAATTCGCATAGGCGTCACCTTGTCGATTCACCAACCCCAGGCTTGTTGGCCAGCAAACTAACAGTTTGTCTACAAGTTTGGTTCCAATTCGCATAGGCGTCACCTTGTCGATACCTTGTCGATTCACCAACCCCAGGCTTGTTGGCCAACAAACTAACAGTTTGTCTACAAGTTTGGTTCCAATTCGCATAGGCGTCACCTTGTTGAGTACTAGTCTGGGCCTTGTGAACCTACCAACTTCTGGATAGGCATAGCCGTTTCCTTGTCGGTTCAACAACCCCTGGTTTGTTGATGAACTAGCCTTTGACTGGGCATTGCTAGTTTACAAATTGTCAACAAGTAAGTGTACTAACGCTCAGTTCGAACTTGTTCTTCCTTACAATCGCTTTGTTTGCGTTGATAACCTTAAGAACTTACGATTCGCGTTCGTTTTCAATTGCCACGATACTGATTCAGGAAATATTTTCTATACGGACAGGTCATTTTTTGGCTGGAAGTGGTGCACAAAACCATGACTGGCATCAGTTATTGCTCAAAGGCTTGCGCTGACAAGAAACGAAATACTGATGGGTTATATAATCGATGAATGCATACACCACATCCATTCGGAAGTTTCTGGAATCATTAGTATTTATTACGGTCACGTACCTACATCACGTAGTATGTAATTAATACTATTGACTGGAGACAATTCCAAGTGCATATTTTCGAATGGATGTGGTAAATGCATGAGGTAGGTATACCTATCGTGCACCGTCAGCATATAAGTCCTTGAAGCAAGAACTGCTGCGTATGTGGAAGAACATGGTTTTGTGCATCGCATCAAGCCAGAAGTATAGGTAACATGCCCGTATGACGAATATTTCCACATTGACCATAACAATCATGGCAGTTGCACGATCACGCAGATAATTCGAATAAATCATGATCGCCAACCAGATTAGCTTTTACAGCCCATATATGTCCATCAGTTAAGTTAAAAATACAAAGAGTTGAATTAAAGGCAAATAAATGTATTTATATATAAAAAACACCGACCGCAAAACATCTGCTCACATGTGCATGCAAAGGTCTGGCCCACTTACATTGCGCGCGCAGGGGAAGGGAGGCGTCTCGACCGCGGGTATAGGCACGATTAGTGCGTCCCGCAGGCCAGAGCGGGCCTCACTCACAGCACGAACACCACAGTTCACAGATTTCACTTTTTACTGCACAAATGCTGGAACAGCCCTCGTCGCTGATCCATGCTGCACGGCGGCCGCGCGACAACTGCTGGTTTGAACGGTTTGAAACCGCCGCGCCGGGGCCGGACGGCGACCGCTGATTGGTCCGCCAAGTCTGACGTCACGGGCGCAGCTGACCATGTGTATGCTGACCAGCTGACCAGTACAAGTTAGGCGCCGGTTAAATAACCATGCGGCAACAAGTTTCCAAAACTGGTTAAGAAACAAACGTTGAAACAAATGTAGAGTTGGTCTGGATACTGAGAAGTTGGTGTGCATAGTAACTATTGACTCGTAGTTGTCACCTGACAAGCAATGCACCAGACAACGGCTTGTTTGAAAAGTATCAGTTGGTAAACATACCAAGAGATGATTGGTTATATTACACAAGACTTGTCAATTTGGTTTACAGTGTATTATGAGGAACTTTGCACTTTTAACCCTCGCCCATGTAGGGGGGGGGGTTGGTGCAACCCCCCCCCCTGAGGTTTTTCGGAAATAGTGCAAAAACGGCGGCGCGCAGCGCCGCCAAATTTTGGGTACCTTATGGGGCAAACCTTGCGCATCTTTTGATAAAAAAAATTTGACCGGGTCATGTCAGGTCACGGAGTTATGACGTCACAAAGGGAACAGCCTCCGGCCGGATTTTCACAAACTGAGTGCCAACGCCCGAGGTTTCCTGCCGGTGGTACGGACATCGGTTGATGGATCGTGATGAAACTTCCCATGCATGTTGGGGCAAGTATTGGCTATCATATGGTATAAGAAACTTGACCGGGTCAGGTCAGGTCACGGAGCTATGACGTCACAAGAGGAACAGCGTCCGGTACTATTTTTGAAAAGCGCCCGAACCACTATTTTGCTAATTCTTGTCACCTCAATGGGAATATGCAGCAATATTAGCTTCTATAGGGAGCAAATGGACATCCCAAATCCAAAAATACAATCAGATTTCAAAAATTTAAATTTTGATTTTTCGAATTTCTGCCGCCGACTGTGACCTTGCCGACTTCCGGCGCTCCCAACGCGCCATTTTTAGAGTTAGGGAAACGAAATACATACCAAACGATAGAGAATTGATCAAGGAACACGATAGTGAAGGTTTCAAGTCGATATCTCCCACCGTTTTGCCGCAATCGCCGCGGAAAATTTGAAAAAGTCTATTTTTCCGAAAATTTGACCTTTGACCGGTCAAAAGTAGGTCAAATGTTGACCTAGGACCAAAAAATATACCACCAATCGCGAGATCTCGTTGAGAGCAATCCGTTGGTTTTTTCCGCTAAGCTCTACGACGCTCCGTTTTCAAACGCCAAGGGGGGGGGTCGCACCAACCCCCCCCCCCCCCTGCATGGGCGAAGGTGGCAGATCGCCGTTTACGGGCGAGGGTTAAGTTTCCAACGACCTATTGAATGTAGCATTTGGAAAAGTAAACCGGACAACATATCTCCTTAAGAAAGTGGCCTTAAAGAGGAAAACATCCCATTGTTAAGGATAGGTGCAATTGACCCCATGGGCTGGTTCAATTGACCCTCGCATCGGCCATCGGGGTCATTTGAAACGGGCGTAGAGCTGTTTTATAAGCATGCGCTTGGCAGCAAAATATGTTTGAAACATAATTTTACATAAAGCCAAAAGAGCATATTTTTTCATGGCATTGTGCATTTTTCGATATGACAACTAGATCTCGCTGTGCATGTCAATATATAAAAAAGTGGTTCAACTGGCCCCGCTCTCCCCTACACGGCACATTTATGAGTGTTCGATTAGGCTAGGTTTTGTTTTCTTTGATTTGATTTGATTCGGTTTGGTTAGGCTAGAAAGGAGTACCTATCTCCAGGCCTCCAGGTAGCACGGAGCATTCAATATACCCTGGCACGGTCACGGAGCACCTTTCCTTGGTTGCTAGTTGCTAATACCGGAAACACGGGGCGTCAAAACCGTCAAAACATCCATAGCCCTGATGAAGGGAAATTCGAATATGGCAGCAGTTTCAAATGACAATTTCTGCGCTTTAGCGACGATTGTGGCGCAGCCTACTTTATCTCGCGAATTTTTAAAACAGTACTCCGCTTCTTTATTATTTTCACGGTGACTGTAAATAGGTTATTTTCTCCCTGTACCGTGCGCCCTTCACTCAATATCAATATGCCCTGCGTGCGCCCCGCCCCGCCCGGGCCGCCCCGACTGCAAACGGCCTGCCCCGTATTGTCGAACTGTGCCGATTTCGGCCCCTGGGCCCTGCCCCACTCTGTGTCATATGGTACCCTGAATGTGTCTGCCCGGTTTATATAGCCTTGGTCAAGGCAGTATATACCGCCTTGGTCTGCCCTGACGAGATCTCGTCGAATCCTGCCACGTTTTGCAGACTGGGACTCAACAAAAGCCTATTTATTGACCAATCAATTTTTGGATCTTCGCCTCGTAATTTCCCTAACTGACCTTGTCCTGCCAGAGAAGGTTAAAGTATTTAGGGCCTTGAAGTTAAGTATATATTTTGGTCATGACTGCTGAGTGCACTTAAGGCCTGGCTACACTACGCGTTTTCTGCGTGCGTTTTCTGCGAGTTTGCGTGATTTGCGTAATGTCGTTTTAGAAAGAAATGACATTACGCTTTTGTTATATGTTTTTCATATAAACTTTTCATTAATATAAAAGTTTTACTTACTTTTGTATAAATATTAAAGAAGATATATTAGTAAAAACTTTTTCCTAGAACAATGTTCCGCAAAACACGCAAACTTGCAAAAAATGCATGCAGAAAACGCATAGTGTTAAGTGTAGCCAGGCCTTAAGAAGTCCTGTTGTAACTGTCTTGGTTTTGAATTTGAATTTGAGTTTGAGTCTACCTGGGCCAAGGGCAAGGCCAAGGGCCAAGAGCCAGTGGCAATGTCCCAAAATTTGTCGATTTGGGTGGGAAATGACATCCAAAGGAAATCCATTTTCCACTCTCACCGCCAATTTTTAAGAACAATTTTCCACTCCCAACCAAGAAAACCTAGATTTTTTTACCTCTAGAAAGAGCGGTTGTGTGAATGCCCGGTTTAGCATCAAACATTCTACATCCTAGAATAAAATCCATGTTTTATGGCGTTTCTCACTCTTTTTGGATCTAATCAAATAAGCAGTTTTCCACTCTCTCCCCTCTTTTTGGTGGGTAATTTTCCCCTCTGACACCCCAGACAAAACTCAATTTTGGGACACTGGGCCCAGTGGAGTTGCCAGCTGGAGGCTTGACAGCACTGCCAATAGTTGCTACCCATAACTCTGAATTCCTGAGGTGAATGACATTATGAATGTGATTAGTGAACACCATTTGGCTTTGCACATATGATTCACCACATTGACATGTTTCACACTGCTTGTGTTTGTTGTTGAAGGCCATAAGATGGGAGGTGTTTGTCTGAATGATGTTCAGAAAGCATACCAGCGAATCAAGTCACATGTGCACCTGACACCTGTTGTTACAAGCCAGTTCTTTAATAAACTGACTGGGAAAGAATTGTTCTTCAAAGGAGAACATTTGCAGAAAACAGGATCCTTCAAAGCTAGAGGAGCATGCAATTGTGTAAGTCCTTGTTGACATCAAAAAAGTATTGATTAGATGTAGTTAGTATCTGAGGCTCTGAGCCTTGTGTATTATTATCAATTTTTGGAGCATTATGTCAAAATGTTTGTCAAAAAGTGCCTTTATCCTTATTAGGTATCAATTTTTTTTTTGTAAGTTTGTACTGTAATTGTGTGGGAATGTGTATATCGCTTTATGTAGCTATACAGTCATCAAAAATCCACTTCATACACCCCACTGTGAGAGGGAGGGTTTGTGCACCGTAACTGTTTTTCCCATAGACCATAGAGGTCACTAATTCAACTCAATTACCATATATAATGGCAGTCTATGTTCAGCATCCTTCTGTTCAGTGATTTTTCAGCTTGGTTCCATTGAATACTGCTTCCCAGACTCAGCAGTATAATCAGTTGTCCCAGTGTTTCCATTGGCATCCTCATAATGCTCTTTAACCCTCAGGTGCTGGTGAATAAGGAGAAGAACCCAACAGTGTCTGGCATAGCTACCCACAGCAGCGGCAACCACGGCCAGGCGACTGCCTATGCTGCTGGTGAGTTAGTGGTCGATGACTGTCAGTCTGGGTCTGGCGCACGGAAGGCACAGGACATGTCGTTGTCGAGGGGGTGACGCCAATGTGGGCCTCGTTCTTATCACTACGTCGGAGGGAGCGCTCTGTGTACATGCTACAAGCATTCTCACTTTTCTGAAATACCTATAGCTGCGTCGCGTGTTACGGTGCGCCAGTGACCGGTCCGCTTCCTGGGGTGTGTGCGGTCGCAGCCACTCAGCCGCCACCCACCCCCTCTGCAGGCGTGGCCGGTCTGCCGTGCACGGTGGTGGTGCCGCGCGGTACCTCCGAGGTGAAGGCGAACGCCATTCGGTCATACGGTGCCCGGCTGATCTACTGCGAGCCCACCCCTCAGGCCAGGTGAACAAAGGCGGGGTCAGCATAAGTACAGTCATGTGCATTTTACGTAATAAATGTTCATTGTTATCTGCGTCACAGGTGACCGCTTTGATTTATTTTGAGTACAGATTGATGAAGCCAGAAGCTAAACGAATTGATCCCCGGTGATCGCGTTGTGTCACTCGGTCGAGTTGTCTCTGTACCCCGATATATCCTGTAATCTGAAGCACCGTTCTACTCGTCACCTGATACCTACCATCTGTACAGCAGGACTGTGTACCAATGATGAGTCTTTCCGTCCGCGCAGGAAGGACACGTGCGCCGCTGTGGCCGCCGAGACGGGCTACGCCATCGTCCACCCGTACGATGACTATAACACAATCGCTGGACAGGGCACCATCGCTTTGGAGCTGCTCCAACAGGTGACGCCGAACTTCTAGTGCTAGATCTGGTGGGCAACGTGTAACTAGAAAACACTATTCTCGCTACTCGCTAGGCCAGTAAGCTGCTTTAAGTTGTGATAACATTTCCTTTGGGCGTGTCCCGACTCCCGTTGGATACGCTGTCTCCTTCGTTATCCCCATGCACTCCTCATCAGCAGAAGTTTACCACTATCATCTGCCAAGAACGGTATCAAAATCTGCCTCTCTCGGTAGTCATCCCCTTCCAGTCTCCAGACCACTCTCTCTGACACGCATTGCCCCGATGTGTCACCACCGCTGGCTTAAGACTGAAACAGACTTTCCACATTCAGGAAATCGCATGCGAGAGCCTATTCAAATACATTAGAATTCTTCCCGCATCAATCACATGCGGGAGGTGCGTGCGATTGATGCGAGCGTGCTTCCATGCATTTGAATGGGCTCTCGCATGTGATTTCCTGACTGCGGAAAGAGTCTGTTTCAGGCATAACTCCGACCCGACGTGTCACCACCGCTTGCTAACCCCGACCCGATGTGTCACCACTGCTCTCTGAACCTAACTCTCCCCGTGTGCCATCAGGTGCCGGATCTGGACGCCGTGCTGGTGGCAGTCAGTGGCGGAGGAATGATTTCGGGCATCGCCACCGCAGTGAAAGAGCTCCGGCCAGAGTGCAAAGGTCAGCCACCGCTCATTCGATAGTCAGCGGTCAATGCGCCAATTGTGGGACTGGCTGTGCTGTAGACGGTTTGATACAATTAAAGCTTAGTTTGTTCACTGGTGTTTTAACTTGCAACTATTCTAATTGGATCGCGAGTTTATGTGGCTCCGGTAATGCTGGAACTTTTACGAATCAATGCACCTTGTCTTGTACGAATGTTCCTGTTGATTCGATGGACGTAAGATTAAATATGCCGATTGCCGATGCATGCCAAATGCCCTCAGCACGCTCGATTTGTGAGACATTCTCTGGAAAGAGAATGTTGGTCTTTCTGTCGTGACTATTTCTCTATTCCATACTTTTCAATGCTAAAAGCCAACATATTTCCAACGCCTAAACCTTAGGCTGATGTCCACCACCACCTCAATACCCAGCCCTCCACACTCCGTACAATTGATCCTCTCGGTCCCAGCAGTCTCGCGCTCTGTATGTCTGACCCCCGCCACCCGCCGCAGTGATCGCCGTCGAGCCGGCCGGTAAGGAGCTCGGCCCGTGTTTGCGCGCCGGCCGCCGGCTGTGGGCGGACCCGCCGCGCTTCCTCAGCACGCTGGCTGACGGCTGCACCACGCAGCAGTGCGGCCAGCTGACATTTCCCATCCTCTGCCGGCTGGTGGAGCCGGAGGTGATCACTGTCACAGACCGGCAGATCGTGGACGCCACACGACTCTTCTGGGAGAGGACCAAGGTGGGTGATGACAATAAGACCCCCCCCCCACTCTGCTCGTATGGTGTTCTATTACTTATTACACTTACACGATGATTGGTCTGATAAGTGATGCCAAGTAACGTCTGAGCGGCGACCACCTGCCGTTAGTAAGTTTGATGCACTTACGTCGGCTCGAATCGTCGGGTAAATCCATGTCATGTGCGCCCAGTTCGCAGTAGCCAGCCAGAGCTTGTTCGATGCATGTAACTTGCCTTGATTTACGCGTAAGTAGCCACCGCATCAATTACCGTACGGGATACTGATATCTCCGTTACGTGTCGACAGCACGTGATCGAGCCGTCGGCCGGGATGGTGGTGGCGGCGGCTCTCTCGAACCAGCTCCCTGCTGACCTCCATCGCGTCGGGGTGGTGCTCTGTGGTGGTAACGTCGATCTGGGCCGGCTGCCCTGGCCGACCGCCGGCGCGCCGCAGAAACTGGTGCAGGACGGCGGGAGCAGCTGAGGGCGCGCCGCAGAAATTGGTGCAGGACAGCGGGAGCAGCTGAGGGCGCGCCGCAGAAACTGGTGCAGGACAGCGGGAGCAGCTGAGGGCGCGCCGCAGAAACTGGTGCAGGACGGAGGGAGCAGCTGTGGGTGGGTGGGGGGGGGGGGGAACACTACTACAGGGGTAGTGACATTAGCAGGGGCAACTGGTAGCAGCAGCTGAGGGTAGAGAAGTAGTACTACCTACCTACAGGGATAACATGGCATTAGCAGGGGCAGCAACAGCTGCAGCTCAGGGTGGTAGGGGAACTACTGCATGGACAGCAGCGGTAGCAAGGTCACCAGCAACAGCTGAAGCAGGGTCGTTAGCAGGTAGAGGAACAGTATTAGCGGCGATAGCAGTGATAGCAGGGATTATCAGGAAAGCAGTAGGCGGGATCAGCTGCAGGATGTAGCTTTGTTCGGAGTAGCTATGCTTGCCGAACGGTCTACGCTAGACGCTAGCGTCAGTCACGACGTAGAAGCAGGGGTTTTACCACGATGGGGACGTAGTTAGCGTTCAGCCCTGCAATTTACATTGCTTGGGGAGAAAAGGATGGTCTAGAGTGAACTGTGATTGCAAGGCTGTTGTACCTACCGTCATGTTTAGTCGTTTTCTCGCATTGGCCACGTCGGGTTAAAAATATGTTACTGTATTGTGCTATTTGATTATTGATGACACTTCTATTGTTTGTACGATGGTATTAATGCTGTCGTCGTCGCACAGCCAGGGACTTGAATGTCATGATAAAGCGTGTCTGTTGTTATCCTAGGTACCCCAAATGTCTGCCGCTGTCTCGACATTCGGTGTTACCCGATGCTTGTTATGCGATTTGTAAATTTATCACTCCAAATGAAATGTTCCCTAAGCGACTTCCGTCTCGTTAGCTTACGTAATACGGTGCGCAACATTGAGGGTGACATCGTGACGTAAACCACGAACAACGTTTACCGGGGTATTGTCCTAAGTGACGGCCCAGTGTCATGCGCCTACGTTAATTTCCCTGGTTGACTGCATGTTCTCACTTCTTTGAGGACTAATACGGATAACTGCTAATTTGGCGAACCGGTGCAGATCAAGGTTGCATGTCTTTTTTTTCTTTTTTTTTCTACACCGCCACCCATTATCAGGTGACCAGGAGTGCCCCCTCCCTCTATCCCAACGACACACAGAACCTTACGTTAACACCACCAGGAAAATAATGAAGACAATTGTCGCGGCACTCCCAGCTAGGAAATGAAACAAACTCAAGGAAGCAAAAAACGAGACACATTATCATGCTGTTAGTATAAAGGTGTAAGAGAAGGCAAAGTAGTCATAACTGAAAACAGTTAGTGACTAGTTTCTAATTCCCAGGAGTACACATTCGTTCATACATCCACACAGGAGCAGTGTTAGAAGGATTCAGATGAAGGGAATCATGCATGCAGGGGTATTATATACAAATCTGCTGGTCAGTTTCAAGCTGGGTCATTTACTGAATCTCCGTCGTTTTGTTCTGTCGTATTATAGCGATGGACAGACGGGTCATTCATGTCAGAATAATGCTTTTGTCAGGTGACTTCGGTGTTTTGTAGCTGCTAACTACCAGTATTCGATTTTTGCTTGTAACTGGAACTGTGGAAGCAGGTGATAGCTAACGATATTGTTTTGTAACAAGCAGTATTGGGCCACTGAGCTTCGTGCCACCCTAATAAGAAAGATCACATACGATATCAAGCGCATTTATCTGCCGATACATTGTGATAGGCGTGGGGTGAGAGAAAACGGCATCTGTGTCGACGTGCCTGAGATGACGTGTGATCGAGCCTCGGGGCATACCTGTATCCGATATGTTCGTGTTTGCGATAACTCTTTTGCCCAGTTTGTATTCATGAGTGCTTCTTGAAGCTGAGAACATTGTTATTTACATCACACCATTTTATTACAAAAATACACATGTTGGGCGTTACGTGCCAGTGAATATGACGCAAGCATATTGTATCAAATATGGACTCGCCGAATTTCTGTTGGTGCAGTACAGTCGACACGGCACACCCACCCTGGACGATGCATGCATTGTACGGCGGAACATCCTTCGAAAGACACGAATCATGGTCTGCGCGGCGGCCGCGCGCGCCGGAGCGGTGGCCGGCCGCGGTATGGGACCGGCGCCATGGTCTGACCCGGGGAGATTCTCTGGAGCCGCCGGTCCATCGTCGGACAACCCCGGCGTCAGATCCGTCCTGGGCAGGGACAGGTTGGTTCAATGTAAAGCTGAACGGCCGCCGCACACCGCCACAGACAGACAATTGTACGTAGAATTGCACTCGCGCCCACTCACCCCGCAGACACCACGCGGACAAAGTTGGCAGCCGCTCGCCGGATTGCGACTGGCGACCCGTCACCGCCCCGAGGGGGTAACGTAACGTCACGGACGGCCGTCACACCAATACACGGAATGTGAGCCGCCGGCCACCGACAGTCAGAGGCGCCGCGCGACAACGATATGATGACCGTGGACCACTATTGCGCTCAAAAAGGATATGATGTTACGAGATATGCAGCGTCCGGCTACATTGGACGGGATGGACAGATGTCTGGCACAAAACAGTCGCGAACGAGCGCGCTGCCGGCCCGACACAAGTCTGACGGTAAAGCTCCTCGTAGAAGACTTCAGTTTTCTTCGGACGCCAACGGTATGGCAAAACACCCAATCCAAACACCTAATGACAATAAACACAGACACGAGCAAAATAGACAATCGAAACAGTAAAACCGAACGCTGTCGCTTCCTACAATATTGCCATTTACTCAAATAGCATGTGCCTTATTATGAAAAATGCATGCGAAAATAAAAGGAACATCTTGAGTTTTGCTTAGCTTATTGTGCAACTAGTAAGAGAATACCACAACCGCTTTGTGGACTGGGTGCAGTTAAACATTGGAAAGTGAGCACATTCCAAAAGGTAAACAATGGCTATCAAAGCCAATCTCATTTGAGTCTAGTTACATACCGAGTACTGTTCAGCATCATCCACGGGGACATTGAAAACCGATAGCATTGAATCACTACCCCGGTACTTTCCCGGCAATCCGGAGCATTCGTACGCTCTCCCCCTCCTTCCTACCAGAACAGCCTGCGTTAGCCATGACACCGGCCAATGACCAATTTAACCACCCAGAAGAGTCTGAGGGAGTCGCAGGAGCTCAGAGGACTGTCAACTTTGAGCGACAAACGTACGCCTTAGTTGGCGCGTTTTAAATGCCGTCGTCTTATTTTGATCAGCAGTGTTGGTACGTGGTCAACCATCGACCACGCGCTATGGAGCGCAGTTAACTTTTAATCAGATCATCGACTCTTCCAGCGGAAGGCTCTAACATCCGTCACATCGAACCTGTCACATACTTCTTGGAGTATGTGTGACACGCACACTGTACGTGTCACATCGATCACATCCAGACATACAGCGTCCAGCCAGTCGCACCCTGTACAGGCGGGTAGGTAATCTCCGCCATGTACTCACCACCTCGCTGTGTATGGCCCGGCTACCTGGCTGCGCGGTCTCCAGACCGCAGTGTGCACGTGTGAGTGAGCCCTCTATCACTGCACCACCTCCGCTGGCGGTGGGAGCGGCGGAGGCGGAGGGGGAGGCGGCGGCGGCGGTCCTCGCCGCTCCTCCTGCATCAGTTTCATCACCTCCTCGTAGGAAGGCGGCAGGTCGTGTCCGCGCGGCGGCAGCGACAGCTCCAAGCCCGACTCGAGCTCGGCCTGGTCCAGCGAGTCAGGCCGACGCCGCCGTCTGCGCCGCCGCTGCCGGCCACCGGCCAGACGCAGCCGCTGCTTGCGCACGTGCATCAGCGTTTTGACGGCCACCAGCACACTGAGTAGGATGAGAACAGGCCCGAGCAGCCAGGTCTGTGGAGTCGCCACACCCAGGCCCGCGTCCTGGTCCGGCGCAGAGCTGTCGGCGGAGGGAGTCGGTCACACCGGGTCGAGGCAGGGCGGGACGGGGCGGGGCGTGGCAGAGACAAGGGAAGGATTGGGCAGAATAGGAGAGCGGCAGACAGTTGCATCAATATTTGACTATCTTATCATTACTCATATAGTTGACCGCTGACATCTAGTTTATGTCAAGGCCGATTAGAAAGGCTGGGTCTTATCTGGCGAATTCCCTAATGCTGGCATGTGCACCAGCTTTCACCTACACGAATATCTGCCTCTCTCCGACCGACGCCACCCCGTCCGGACGCACCTGAAGATGAACGTGATGGCCACGCCGGTGAAGCAGAGCACGGCGCACAGGCCCGAGTAGCAGCAGGTGGTGAAGTCGCAGCAGGCGGCTGCTACCGAGCCGTCCGGCGGCGACTCGGAGTAGGTCGGCGACAGCTCCATGGCGAGGCGGCAGGGAGCGCCCGGCGGCCCGCTGCGCCTCACCCGGACCGTACCGGCGCCGCCCTGGGCGCTGGCTCACCGCGCACACCGGCCCACTGCCGAAAGAAAAAGGTTTAAAGTTGCATGTATCACATTATTGATTAAAACCATTTTTTTCCGATATTTTTTTCAACAAGACATCGGTTGGGCAGTGTCTAATCTTGTGGATGAACATTTATCCACAGATTTTCTGCACTTTTCGGAAAAGCTGCTCAATTCACAACCTCAATATCAAGATGAAGGACACTGTGTTAATATGTGGGATGACAAGACCCTGTATGTGTTAAGTGTGATTGTGTGTCTGCTAACCCTATCATGTCAGTCTCTGTGCTCTTCTCAAAGTCAATGGCCTGCTCGCAGAAGTTTTACCGTTTAGGGATTTGACTAGTCCCTACCATTGTTGGTAGCTTCTAAATATTCTCTTTCTTTGTAAATATGCTTCTAAATGTAGCCTCAAAAGGCCTGTACACATGCACTGCAGTCCTAAGTCATTCAGCAGCAGTGGGTTCCTATGTGAAAGACACATCAGCTTGGAAGCCACAAAGTGCAAAGCATAGCAGGAGGGTTGAAAAGCCAGAAGACACCAGCTGTAAAAAAATCCTCACCAGCCTGTGCCACCCAACCTGAAAACATCGAAACCAAAACAAAAAAGCATCTGAAAATTGCACCACAAGATTGATGAATCAACACTTCCAAGACTCAAAGAGTCAAGAATCCATTAACTCTGTATTTTTCAAGTTCAATTATTTAAAAAATGGGCTGGCCAATGGAGGTCCCTGCCAGATCTCCCAAACATTAGTACAGGCCACTGCCCCTCCCCCCCCCCCCAGGCCCCAGGTATTAGGACGTTGGATACCAACAATGATGATTGATCTGTAGGTAATCTGTATTGAGGAACATCTACAACAGACTGTCAAACATTGCTGAAGTGTCCATAAAACCCTGTTCTAATTTTTATTAAGTCATTTTACTGGAAAGTTGAGTGTCTTGCCATTCAAAGTTACAATCCCAAAAACACATTGGTTTACCAACCACTCTTTTGCTGCAAAAGGTTGGGAGAAGTTGTATTAGTACACAACCTAATATCTTTAATTTAGAATATAAAAAAAAAATCAGTTTGCCGAATGCCAATCCAATACCTCACTCCATACCTGAAATCAGCACCTCATATGCAATTCGCACCACACCAACAGGAAGTTGTACACCTTTTTGCATTTTTTAATGGCCAATCATCAAAACCATTTCAGCATCAGTTTGAACAAGCATTATTCAGCATAACCAATCGGCAATGTTCATCACTATTTGACAATCGGCAAAACAAGCTGGAATCCATTAAGTCATTCTGCAATCTGCATAACTCTTTGTCATTGAGTAAAACATTCGTCACAAGCAAAACACTTTGTCAGATTATGTTAACTTACAAATCAATTATTTGCAGTGTGGTGGTTAGAGCACACCTGTGGGCTGTAGCAAACATGTCTATAATATAGGTAATGCATCTGACCGCCACAACCAATGCCAGCACATCTCGAGTTGAAAATGTAATATTCAACATTACTTTACTGCTGCATGTACTCTTCAACACAGAACTCTTTATACCACCTTGTTGAATGATAGACATAATATTTTACTTAATCCTCATTCAATAAGCAAGTGAAATTAATGGTTTAAGTGCAAAAAATCCATTTTAAACAAAGGCTGACAATCTCCATTTCAACTTCTCTTGGGCTTTCAAATGCAATGGGATCAAAACCTACTTACCTAAGCTTCTAATAGGTGAAGAACCTGCAGCATAAAGTCATGATGACATCACTGATAAGTGATAAGTAATCAGTGCAAAATTGAAATAAATTATTGCACACAAAACGCATTGATGAAAATAAACAAGGATGATCCATTTCGACGGATTTTGAATGAAATGTAGAGTAAATGACGTCATAGGTTCTCAAGTGTTCTCCAAGGTGCGGGTCACTGCGGGGGCATCGGCATGTAGAACCCAGAATCTATCGTAGTCTTTTTTAAGAAACTTTCAAAGTCTAGCTTGCTTTTGTTCATATTACACGAATTATGATACAAACCATGCATGTTATAACTTTTATTTACTAAAAAAGAGCCAACCAAGGCAGCCAAAAAAATCCTCGAAGACCGTGTGAAGCAGTAATGTCGATGTGAAGTTCACCCAGGGCTTAGGCTTTCCCAGTTATTTTTTCACGCCCGGTGAAACCCCAGAACCACCTGCGACTGACGGTACGCCAAACACTCACGGTTGCTCATCGTCTTATATTGTGAATAGTCATAGATAGTGGATCAACATCCAACATTGACAATTCAGACCATCAATAGGCTTTCAAAAAATTAACCATTTAACACTTTACCAGCTCGACTTTTCACCCTCAGTGAATCCCGGACCCGTTCAAAGTCCAACTGCCATCGCCATTCACAAGGCACTAAGCAGGACACTGTATTGGTGCCCAGCGCAGCCGGTCAACACCACACTACAAAAAGATCGGCGCTGGCGGCGCCCGCCTCCGCCGCCGCCGCCGCCACTCGGCGAGATCCGGCCGCTGGGGGCGCCGCAGTACACCCTCGGACGCCGGGTGACCCCTCGACTCGTGTTGAGCAAGACGCGCCTCGCGGCCGAGCCGCGCCCGTCCGCCCTAGCTACACAGCATGGCGTTTTAGATCCCCATGACGATCAGACACTCTCAGCTCCGGCCGCCTGAGCAGCACGCGGTGCACACACCTCAGTGACACTCTCAGTCCCCGTCCGCCCCCACCAGCACAGCGCAAGCCATCCACGAACACACGTAACAGCCGGGGCCGACGGCGCCGCGCCAGTCCAGGGAGAAGCGCACAAATAACCCGCCTTAACGTGTAAACACAACACAACCGAGCGTACCAAGCCATCGCGGCCGCTTCTCGTGCGCACACACACAACAGTCAGTGGTTGTTAGTAGGAAAGCGGAAAATTTGCGCGCAGTCATGGACATGATGTTACAACAAATCAGTTCGTCGCCACAGACAAACATCTAACAATTAAACAGCGACAAGCCGTCGACGGCAGGCCACGGCCTCCAGCGCTGGCGGCGCAGCGAAAATGGTGGCAGCTACACCATCACAAAGGTAAGCTCAACTTTCAACAGCGGACGACAAACGTCTGGGCCCAGACCCGGCCATAAAAACGGCCAGGGGTCCGAGCGCGGCCGGCGCCACCGGCAGGCCGCCGAGCGAGCAGCGGCGGCGACTAAGGTCGGCAGAGCACGGCAGCGGACGGCGGGAGCCTCACTCCCTCCGACGGGCCGTCCGACACTCACTGCCGGCAGACGGGTCCGGCGCCATCGGCCGCGGGCAGACGCCCAGGGGGAGATATCACAGCGGCGCGGGCCGGGCGGGCGCCCAGCCTCAGTTCCCCGGCCCCGGTCCACCGTCTCGGCACGGATACCGCGCAATGGCAGGCCACTCGGCGCGCGCCTCTACTTGAGCGCCGTCTCACACACGCTGCGGCAGATGCTCTCGAGCGAGTCCAGTCGGCCGGCCGGGTCGGCGGCCGGCGGCGGCGGGGGCGGGGGCGGCGGCGGCGGCGGCGCGGCAGCCGGGATCGACTGCAGGGCCGGCGTGGCCAGCCGGCCCGAGCCGTAGGTGGGCGGCGGCGCCGAGAAGTGGGTGCCCGCCGTCGGCCGGTAGATGTCGCCAGAGTTGGTCCGGTACAGACTGGACAGGTGTGGCACCTGCCGGGACGGGGGGGGGGGGGGAGGTCACAGACCGGACATGCAGTGTACGGGGAGTGGCCCAGGCGTGTATGGCCAGACGGCCGCAACGGTGCACTATCCGGGAAACTTGACGGCGGTCTGCGTCCTCAATGCCACGATACGGCAGAGCGACAAACCGCGACAGCTGTCAGAATCGGTTGCTGCACCCTCTAAATGAGCCGCACGACAGCTTGACAAACGCGCTCAGCATGTACGAACAACGCTGAACTCAAGTCGATACCTTTTTATACTAGGTCAGCATCACCCATCCCCCGTTGCTCTTTTTGTCCTCACTCACCTCCAGTACGCTCTCCTGCAGACTGGTGCGGCGCGGGAAGTGGACACCGTGCGAGCCGGGGCTGAGTGATGACGGTGCTCCCCGGGAGCGGACCGCCGCCGGCAGCTGCCCGCCGCCGGTCGGCGCGCCGCCCCAGTAGCCGATACTGGGCGCCGGGTAGCCTCCGCCGCCGCCGCCGCCGCCCATGAAGCCGCCGGAGTGGGGCGGCGCGGCGCGACCCGACCCGGAGGAGGCCGGGAAGCGGCGTCCGTAGCCGCGCGCGTCGCTGTGCCGCCGCTGAGAGTGGTACTGCCGGGCGTCCGAGTGGCGCCGGAACGGTGGCGGGAACACCTGGCGACGGCACGGAGAGCGGCGGGTCAGTCAGGCGAGAACTCACAGCCAATAACGGGGCAGATTTCCGGTAAATACGGCACCGTATGAATCTTAGAATCAATACAGCCGGGAAGGCGGAATATACAAAGTGCCTTGCATGGGCGGAAAACATGTTTATGAGACACTATGATGTTTCTATCGAAACACGATCGAAATGATCTTCAAAGGAAGTGGCGAACATTTACCAAAGGCTGATTAAGACAATACGATTGATCAGTCCAGGCTGAGTAACCCATCTCACCTGTCTCCGGCCGAGCTCGAGGCTGATCTGCCGTTTCCAGGTGACGAACTTTCTGCGCTGGGCATCGTTGAACGCCTCGTGCCAGGTGGCCTCGTCGAGCACCCAGAGGAACGTCTGGATCGCCTCGTCGTCAGCCGACTGGGTCACCAGCAGCTGGGTGCACATCTTGGCCAGCACGCGCGTCATCAGCGCCTGCAGGTCCGCCTCTCCGGAGGTGTTGGCAATGCCGGAGGCCGGCGGAGGCTCTGCCTGCCCACTGCTGCCGCTGCTGGTGGTGGTAGCCGTGGTGGTTGACGCAGTGCCAGTAGATGCGGCAGTGGTTGTGGTCGGCACCGGCGGGCCGGCCGGAGGCGAGGCGGGCTCCTCAGAGTCGTCAGAGCGTGTGACACGGATCAGTGGAGTACCGGTGGCTGACGTAGTGGGCGGGGTGGGCGCGGACGGCGCCGGAGACGGCGAGAGGCGCGGCTTGTGTGGCCGCATCGGCGAGACGACCATCACCTGCATTATCTCCAGCGCAGCGCTCAGGAATATCTTGTTCTCGGTCAGACCCTGCCGGGCGCACGAGAAGAGCAGGCGTTAGCATGATCACAAAACATGTCAATGGGTAAACAAAGGCGCCATAATTATGAGTGATCCACTGAGATCATATTAAGAGATCATGAGAGATAGTAACATAAAAACATGAGTCCGGTGGAGCGGGGGAGATATTCGCCCCAGTTAATTTAACCTTACCGATATAACTACATGCATTTCACAAGGACTCACAGCCAAAAGGGTAAACTTCAATTACTTTGGCGGTATCGTTCAAAAGGCACCGCATTCGTACCTGTTCCAGGTCCTTGAGTTTCTGCGCTCGGTCGTTGAGCTCCTGGATGTTCCTCAGCAGTTTGTTGGCGCCGCCCTGCGTTACGCCCAGACGAAGCAGCTTCTCCATGGTGACGTCGAACAAGTCCTCGTACGTCATACCGGCGAATATCCAGGTGTACTTGTGCAAACGGAGCTTGTGCAGCCACTTGGGAACGGCTGTCGGCGGAAAGGAGCGTCAGTATCAAGCAGATCCACCGGTAACTGAACAAAAGAGCCAATGAAAACGAGGTGCGCTGATATACCAGCAAACAACCCAAAGTGAGTTCCGATTCTGTAGTTTTTACAATCTTCGTTCTTATTCAATGTCCGTCTTTCAAAAGCTAGGCATCTCTCCCTTTTCATCACTTTGCGATGATTCAACTTTAATGAAAATCTCATAAAGCCGAGTCACGTCTACCGATTCCCTCTCCCGGTACCACAATCCCCGTGCCGCTGCCCTTACGTACTGGTGGTGCCACTGCCGCGCACGGAGAAGGCCTTGTCGCGGCTGATGTCGCTCAGACTGCTGTGACTGTTGGAGCGAGGCGGCTGACCACCCGACGACTGTGAACGGACGAAAGGGCCGTAAGATATCAGACGAAGTATCGCGCAACACACGTGTAACAAGCGCGAGCGTTTTACAAAGCTCCCTACAAGTATGACAAGTATCAGTTTCCGCCGATGTCATCAAGGACAGAAGGACATATCCGTCATCTCTCGGTCTCGGCCGTCCGGCTCGCACCTTTTTATCGGCCGACTGGGCGGAGAGGAGTGCCGAGCCGGCCTGGCCGGAGGTGCCGGAGCCGCCGCTGGACGTGACGGCCGGCGCCGCGCCCGGCCCCAGCGGGCTGTGGTCCAGGTGGATGGACGAGCTGCGCGGCTTGGCGTTCAGCAGGTCACCCTGCGGGGAGACGCAGAAGTTAGGGTCGTATTGTGTGGAGCATACGGGGACCACGTAAACGGAGATGCGAAATGACGCGTCAATAATCGCACTAATGCATCACTTGAAACTACAACAGTAGCAGTCCAGTGACAGGCTCACGACTCGTTTCCCCATGGTCCGAAATCCCACCAGCGCATAGTCCTAGAGCATCACAAACAGAATCGTTCGCCGTGTAGATGATCTACGTGTAGTCGTGTAACTGATCCACCCAACACACTGAGCCACTGCCTCCGCAGACACTCTGTCCTAATGACACCACGGTCCCCCTGTATGACCCCGCGGTCTCCCCGTTGTCTCACTAACCGGGTGCAGGTCGCCGGCCGGCGGGTTGTAGGTGCCCGGCGGCGTCAGACTGTTGGACCGCAGGCGCTGCTGGGACTGCTGCTGGTTCTGGTCGGACGAGTAGGAGCCC